ATTTATATGAAGACCATATTTTTAAACATATTTAACTATTATTGTGGATAATTGTAGAAATTAATGGTCAGAATTAAAAAGAGAAGTATAAACGGTAATAATGTTGGAGTTATATATATCATAATCTAAAATACTAAGGTGAAAAAAGTATGAAGATTAACTTAACTAAATAACTAAATTAGTTCTATGTGCATTGTTTACCTTTTTTTAACGCAAATGCGTTACTGTATTTAGCCTCAGGCGATTTTCGCCTAGCACGGGTTTCTTTCCTATATTGGGCTCAAGAGGGAAATTTTGTAAAGCATCTTTTCACGTCATTTCCCTCTTGGCGTCAAAAAAATCCTTTGAGGGTTTGGCGATTTTCGCCGATTCAAGATGGCGGAAAAAATTGCGCTAAGTGCCGGTTATCTGAGTTTTCCCATAAATCCGATACATATATATTTAATATTCAGCTAGGTTTTATTAACCCTGATTAATTGTTTATAAGCATTTTAAATTTCATCCTGTCAAAAAAATACACCCTTTTGTGGTAGTTTATTCAGACAGCTCTCATTCTCTGTTTAATTGTATATATTGCATACTTATAATTTTATAAAGCATACCTCTCTCTCCTGGGGAAAAAAAAGGGGGGGGCACAAATTAATTCTTAATTTAAAATTCAATCATAAGAGCAATGTGAAAACGAATATAGCCAATGGAACAAAATAACACACGTCTTTAATAGAGGACAACATATCTATACAGTACAAAGTCCGTAATCCGGACGTCCATTATCCGGAATGATCTATAATCTAGACCTCAAAGCCACAAACTTTAATTTTATGCTTTACGTATGCGCGTTGGGAGGATGCGTCTCCAGATATGTTAAAAATGCTTGGCATAATTTATGGCCAGCTACCACATTTCATGATGAGGATGATGAAGATGATAGCCGCGAATTTGAAGGTTTTCGGACATCGCAAACTAAAGGTGAAATTTTCCAGTTATTGGATTTTTGTAAAGAAATGTGGAGAAGCGGTACTAAATGAAGATGATATAACAGAAGTTTTTCATTGCAACGACAATGCCCCAATCATCAATCAACGGACAGTGAAATCTGTAGTACGGCTCTAGATACAGAAAATACTGCTTCCAATAGTAAAGAAAGTGACAGAGAGGTTATCGAAAACGAAAAAATTTCCATTGACAGGTTAGTCGGTATTTTCGACACAGTAATGTTATTTCATTGTTTGATTTGAAATCCAGCCTATTAAGAATATACATATATTTTGGTTGACTGCTTCTTTGACCTTTTTAAGTGAATAAGTTCGATGTGTACATGGACAAAGTCAAAGAAGTGCGCAATGCCTCGTTTGACTCGGCCGATTTTTTTAAGTGAAAATAGGTCGATGTGTACATGCATAAGGAGTTTGTGCACTTCTTGTTATTTCGAATTTGTGTATTCTTTGGCTGCTACACAAGCCAAAGAATTACACAAACTCGGTATCCATGTACCACCAAAAATTGCCAAGGGGTGCCCGTAAATATATTTTTGCCCAAACATTTTTCCATTGGTCAAATTCACCACAATCATGGAACCAATCATGTCATAATAAGATTTCCATAACATTTAACTACTTCAGGTTACAAGAAGTGATACAACTTGGCAATAATCCAAGGGGCAACCTAAAATATAGACCAATCAAAAATGACTCTTAATATATACCATATTGTATAGAGTAGAGTTTAAGGTACCCCTTGCATTATGGCGAAGTTGTTGTTTCATTTATGGTAGCCTTGGATGTTACGAAAATCCTATTGTGACGTAATCGGGGGCATGATTCTCGGAAATTTTGAATGATCGGATGTTTTTTAAGCGTTTTTGTGGTGTGTGTTTGTTTGATTCTTTAGACAGTAGGCCGAATGTAGTAAGATTAATTTGTAATTTTAAGTTTCTGTACGATTTGGAGCAAAAGAGGAAAAGAGCTTTAATTGATTGGTGTGTAAATGAAGGTTTACTTAGTAGCCAATATAAGTGTCCTGTATGTTGGAAGGATATGCAGCTAGTCGAATGTAAAAACCGTTTAGATGGATTTGAATGGGTTTGTAGGAAGAAAGGTTCAGATGGCCACTATGTGAAGCTTTCGATCAGAAAGAGTACTTGATTTGAAAAAAGTCATTTGAGTATGACCAATATTTTGATTTTTACGTGGCTGTGGGTGTATGACGTGAACTCGGAAATTATGGTAAGTGAATATTTGCTTTTGATAGTGCTTAAATGTATAACATGTTTTTCCTTTTTTTATGCTATTTTATTGAGATTATGTATTTTTTTTTTTTTTTGCCTATATTGTAGAATTTGGTGCTCCTTCGACTTTTTAAGCGAAAATATATCGATGCGTACATGGACAAAGTAAGGGAGTGGGCAATGGAAGTTTGTGCAATTCTGGGATTTTAAGTAAAAATAGGTCGACGTGTACATGGATAAAGTTAAAAGAGTGCGCAATGCCATTTTTTGTGCAATTCGGGGATTTTTTTAAAAGTGAAAATAGGTCATTTTTTTTTATACAAAGTAAAAAATTTTTTTCAAGCAAAAAAAAATCAATCTTTTCAGAAATGAAACAGAAAAATTGGTAAAAATATATTTTAGGGTACCCTTTGGCGAAACACGGATACCGAGTTTGCTTCGACTTGTTATTTTGGCTTGTGTAGCGGGGATTTTTGGTGAAAAAATTGCCGCTACGCAAGCCAAAATAACTAGTCAAAGCATTGCACAAACTCGGTATCCACGTACTCATCGACTTATTTCCACTTAAAAAAACTCTGAATTGCACAAAAATAACATTGTGCACTCCCTAGACTTTATCCATGTACACATCAAACTATTTTCACTTAAAAAAGAATCCCCGAACTGCACAAACTATGCTTTACGCACTCTCTTGAGTTTGTCCATGTACACATCGATATATTTTCACTTAAAAAGTCAAAGGAGCACCCAATTCTACAGTAGAGGCAAACAAAAAATAGATAATCTCAATAAGCTACATTTTAAACCAAAAAATAAAATAACACAAAAGAGGAAAAACCTGTTATGTATTTTAACACTACACAAAGCATAAATCCCCTTATCTTATTTAGAAATTCATTCATCTTCAGTCTGTGGCACACAAAATTCCTTAACAGCATCCAAAAACTTCCTAAAATTATCTGAACTACAATTCGTATATCCGTGTCGCCACAGAAATTAACAAAAATAAGAGTAAAAAATATACTACGTAGTTCCGGACTATGGCTACTAAGTAAACCTTCATTTACACAATTAATTCACTCAATTAATGCACTTTTCCCCTTTCGTCCCAAATCGTACAGAAACTTCAAATTAATTCTACTACATTCAGCCATTGTACCGTCTAAACAATGAAACAAGCAATGTACTTCCTAAGCAACACACATCCCAAAAGCCTTTGCAAAACATCCCACGATTCAAAATTTCCCAGAATAATGCAAACGATTACGTTATAATAGTGTTTTCACAACGTTCAACTACTCAGGTTACCATAAATGATACAACTTGGCGAAAAAACGAAACAACAACTTCGTGATAATACAAGGGGTACCTTAAAGTCAACTCTACCCGAAAAATTACCTACACATAGCAGTATTAATTTAAATTATCGACGGTTTCAGTAACTTGTAAAATAACCTTGTCACTTGAGAACCCCTGAAAGTCAATTTGGAATAGACCAAATCAGCTTCGTTATTTTGCTCCATTTATTCAGTGTCATTTTTTAGCATTTCTTTAGAGGTTACGAGGTGCTGACAAATCCTACGCTCCAATAAATCCCACTAATGCTCAGTAGGATTGACGTCTAGGACGGTACATAATTGGCCTTTTGTACTATACAGCAAACATGGCTTCACATTTTATGCCACATGCTTCAGACCTATATGAAACCAGAAATCTTCAACAAGCTCTAATTGGGCTTGCTGGGCACTTCACTTCAAACTGTTTTTGAAAATGTTTAAATAAACATACCAATCCATCGAGGAATCTATAAAAATGAGTTTGCTAAATCCATTTGCTGCCATATATCTACAGACCACAGTAACACCTCTACAAGCTTCTTTTCCTCAATTCTAAATGTGCACAATTTGCTTTCATTTGAGAATAAGACATTTTCCCCAAAAATCTGATCCTTATTTACATATTCATCAGCGAAATGTATTATTATTTATATTCTTCATGGACAGAAGATTGTAGCAGAGATTTTTCGATGTTTACAATTATTTGGGAAGTAGTAATTCTAAGATTCTTTTTCCCAGACTGCAAAACAGTTTTTTGCATACGGTCAATATGCTAGGATGGCCAGAACATGGCTTTGATAAAATAACCAGTGGACTAGAGAGGAAATCACCAAAATTTTAAAACACAAACATTATACTACAAAACACGATTTATTCAGACAAAAAACTGATTACAAACTAAAATAGTGCCATAGAACCATTATTGCAAGTGAAGTGTTCCCAATAATACAGGGATCCCCTTTTTAGATGTGTATGGAAACAATTTCTGGTACAAAGTTCTGCCATCTATTTATTTTTGTGCTTAAAACATCACTTTTAAACTAATAAGCCTGGTAAAAAAAAAAAATGCTGAGAATCTAGAAAATGTTCAACGAATGAGTATTCAGAAGGGAAAAAAATCAATTAAAATTTATATCTCACTTTTTTAAATAGGACAACTTTTTTCTATGCGTATACGGGTATTTTTTCTGGCAGGTGTAGACTGACACTGCTACGGACCATGAAAGAAAACATAACCCTTCTAAAAGTTAACGGCATTATGAAAATTATAATTTTAAAATATATTTTATTTACCACCATAGCAGGGAGAAAAAATACATATTACATTTTTAAGCATATGATCATACACCTATAGTTTTGAAAGTTGAACTTAGATTTTGATTTCCATTTTAAACAAAAACACTTTAAATCAAAATCATTTTTAACAATACACTTACCATCAAATTTATCGATATTTTTCAAAACACTTAGAGCCTGATGACTCGTTGCGCTCCAAATATTTAAGCCTGACGGAAGAGAATTTGTTCCATCACCATTATCACCAAAATGACAACGCATTCTGGAAGTTCCAATCACTCAAATTTTACTTTTTACCTACATAAAGAAATATCAAACCAGCTGCGCATGCTTAGCCAAAGACTAGAATTCATAATTTAAAATTTAAACGAAAATATTAACACGACACCAGAGTTTAATTTCAAAAATAGGACAAGTCTACTTAAACATTCTATACCTATTGGAAATACATGACGCGAAAAGGGAAAATATTTGTTGCCATCGGAGTTTGCTAAATCTTTAAACAATAGGGTTTAAAAATGGTTATTCCAGATATGTTGGTTTTACTACTAAAGTACAATCTATTCCAAGAAATTTATTCTAAAGGCAAAAGATACTACTTGCAAAATAGTTTTACAATGCTTCGTGTCTGTCTGAAGAGCATCTATTTGTTTCCATAACGAATCCGTCATCCCACTCAACAGCTTATTTGAAAAGCTGAATGAGGCTACCAAAAGATATTTTTACTTTCGTCAAATTCTTTTTTCAAGTGCCATGATGAATGGCTTGGCTGAAGATTTTTGCTCTAGTAGACTTTTGTTTGTTCTTATAAACTTTGTGTATATATATATATATATATATATATAGTCTCATTGCTGCTGAGTGTAGTTTGATTAATAATTACCCTTTTAATTGCCTTTTTTTTTTTCAGTTTATGGTCTAATCTTTGCCTGCTTGTATATATATTGCGTCTGTAGGCATTCTTAGAAAAATTTTTTTCGTCTTTTAATGTACCACTGTTGCCTAAGCAGATTGTGCTTTGCTCAGTGCGTTAAAAACTTAGGTAGCAATTTTATCCTTCATATTGAAAATTGAATAAAGATTTTTGCTAAAATATATATATATCAAAGTTTTTTTGTTTTGAAATAACAGAACTGAGTTAAAAAATTGGAAACCTTGGGAATCATTTTACTGTTTTTTTCACAGTGTAAACAAATTGAAATTATAACCGCAGATTTTTTGTTTTCATCTTTCATCGCAAACCACGCCACTTTTCGCTGAAGTAGGGTCTGGGTAGTTCGATAAGAGAGTAGTACTGAAATTACGAGAGTGTTAATTTTGCTGATAGTAGAGACCAAAGCGGTGTTTTGTAAATCCGCTGGTCATGTATCACCAGTACCTGTCCCCTGAAAGAATGAGGGGTTTTGAAAATTACAAGGTAATCTTTAATAGGATCTTTTTATCTGTTATATCAGATGTATATTTCCCATGTATGAAGTTGGTTGTTAATGTGTAAATCGGTGGATTTAATTTTTTTTTTGTATGTTTTTTTTTCTGCTGATCTGGAATAAGTATTTGAAATTACGATTACTTTACAGTACCGTTAACGACAGCAGCTTAAACTAGTCGGAGACCAGTACTGGGGGTTGATCTCTTTGTTACATCTTGTCTCGGAAATTTTGTTTATGAAGAGAAAGCGATTTTAGGATCTAGGAATGTTTTTAAAATAATTTGTGTTTTACAAATTATACTTTAGGAGATTTATAGTTGTGTAAAAGTAGTCTTGAAACAGAATGAGTGTTTTTATGAGTATGTACTGGGTATATTTATAGCTTATGTTTCACACGTGATATAGCTTATGTTTTATAGCCACGTTTCGTAAATCGGTGTAATTTTTGAAAGGATTATTTGTTATTTATTTCTGCTTTCGATATGTACTTCTGATTTTGTACATGAAGTGCAAAATCTGAAGCACAGTGACTTAATTTACAGCAAGTAAACGAAGCTCTCTTCCTTTATTTTGATTGGAATTGAAATTCTGCACTTAGCTTTCATAAGAAATAAAATTTTGCATTGATTATTATATGTATTCCTCAAAAAAGATAATTTAAATATGATTATAATAAAGAGAAGCTGCAGTAAGCCAAGATTTGTAATATGTTATTGTTATAGTCTCTTAAAATTTTAAAACCCTTTATTTTACATAAAGTTTAGACAATCATCTTTAGAGTAAATCTTACATTTTACTAAAAGGGAAAGACATTTTACTAAAGAAAGAATTTCTATTAATGTGATAAAATATTAATGTTTTTTGGAAATAAGTGATTTTATATAAATGGAATTTTTTATTAGACCTAATTATTCAAATTTTTATTTATATATACATAACTTTAAAAATTTTAAATGGGTAAAAATTTATGTGAAAAGAAAAAAAAAAAAAAAAAAAAAAAAAAAAAAAAAAAACTGTATGAGAAAAGCTAAATATTTAAAAAATAAATTAATTTTTTCTTTGATGTTTATTTTCTACTCCAGCTGTAACACAAAATTGTTAAGTTTCTTTTCACATTCCTTAATTGACACACAGAGAAAGTACAGCACATATAATCGAGAGCTCTTGTCCATCTACACAACAATGAAGCATTTTAGGTACATATTAGAAGGAAGGTCTTTCTACATTTATATGGACCAAAAACCTCTTACCTTTGCTTTTCAACAAAATTTAGACAAAGCCTCTTCCAGACAAGCAAGACAATTCAGTTATATTGCTCAATTTTCAATGAATATTCACTTCATCAAGGGAGAAGAAAATGTTGCAGCTGCTCTTTCCAGAATTAATACCATCTGCAGTTGATTATGCAACTATTGCAGAATTTCAAGATGATGAAGAATTAACAGATTTAAAAAACAACCCAAGGCTGAGGATGGTTCAGATTCCCATTCCAGGCATTGATAAATTGATTTATTGTGATGTCTCCACAAACAGTAACCGCCGATACATTCCATGAAACTTTCGCCAACAGATGTTTCCTTCTATTCATAAGATTGTCAGTTATGGTGTAGGGAATGCATGGAAGGCCAATGATCTAAGGTTCAAAGACATACAAAGTCAGCTCTTATGAACTTCAATGTTCCACCTGAACATTTTCAACATGTTCACATTGATATTGTCGGACCCTTGCCTTCATGTCAAGGTTTCAGGTACTTACTAACAATGACTGATTATGTTTCAAGATTGGTTGAAGCCCTTCCTATGGCAGATCACTCAGCATAAACAGTTACAAAGGGGATGATCTCAACCTGTTCTCGTTTTGGAATACCACATTATTTTATATCTGATCAAGGATGTCAGTTTAAAAGTCAACTCTTCTCATCTTTGAGCAAATACTTCGGTTTTCAAAAATCCAGAACAGCAGCATACCATCCACTATCAAATGGATTGATTGAGTGACAACACGGGATTATAAAGGCAAGCTTGAGATGTCATTTACAATAAAGCAAATCTTGCATAGATGCTTAACCTTTGGTTCTTGGATTACACTTTGCACTGAAAGAAGATATAGGATACTCTTCAGACGAGCTTCTTTGCAGAAGTTCCCTTTTTTTACATGGAGAATTCATCACCACGATCCCTAATGTCATACACTCAGAGTTCATGCAAAGGCTACAAATTATTATCTGTAGCATGAAACATGCAATAACTACCCATGGCAGTACAACCAACCGTATTTGTTTCCAATGACCTTTTGAGTTGCTCGCATGTTTTCATCTACAATAACACTGCCACTTTATCTTTGCAGCCAGTTTATCTTGAGCCTTATGTTATCAAACACCGAACACCAAAGTATTTTGACATTGAAATTAATGGAACTGTCAAAAGAATTTCAATTGATAGACTAAAACCATGTTTTACCTTAAAAGACAATGATGAGCAGCCAGTTGAAATCAACAGGCCTATGGATTATCGAGATCTGCACACACAGTGCAAATCTTGGGAAAGGGGAGGAATTTTGCCGCCAGTCTATCGCAACCATACCATACGCAGTGGAAATACCGTTAGGTTTTCACCACATTTAAAGGATTATGTCTCCTAATCATTTTCACTGGGAAGGGAGTATGTAACGTCCTCTATGTGTTCTTTTCATTGTATCTTTAATTTCTGTCCTTTTTAATTTTTAGAAGATGGCAACAAAAAAAGACTGTTTGAAAGATAAATGTTCTTTGGGATTTTGTTTTCAAAAGGCTACTTATTATTTGTTTCAATTCTGTTTTCTCGTTAATAAAATTGTTTAAAGAATTGTGTTCTTTAAAGTTTATTAATAATACTTTAGATTTTATTCAATGAATTCCAATACATTAGATGGAAAAATTTATGTTTATAAATATATACTAATTCTGAAGAAGATTAAAGAGAAATTTACCACTGTTGATTACAAGAAGTTAGAAGTATAATTTGTTATTTTACATAAATATTACAGTAATATTATATAAAAAAGGTAATACCTAATATACACACGAGCTATACTATGACACAGTATTAAAACAATCACGATGAAACTCGAAGGAACTGCTCCAAGGAAGCAAAAAGAGCAAATAATTAAGGCTTTGCAGGAGCCTTGAGTTGAAGGAGCAAATAATGAAGACTTCATTGGAATCAGATCTGCAGCTACAGCAGCAGTGATGAAACACGCTTCTTTAAGCTTCATTATAGGAGCGATGAAACCTGTTCCTTTAAGCTTGATTATAGGAGTGATAAAAACCGCTCTTATAATCACGACGCCATATGACCCACTTCTGCGACTAGCATCAGAGCGCTGAACAGCCGAGAATTCGGGGAACTAGTTCCTATTATCTATGTACTTAAAAGAATTCCTCGCACTGCCAGATTGGGGGGGGGTTGAGCTCCATACATTTGCATGCAGGAGTGATCAGTTTATTTAATGTTTTGTTTTTTGAATACCAGATGAACCAAAAGCACACATATATACATGCATAACACACATAAAAAATAGGTCAGATGCTTCTGGTAGATAATAAAGGAAAGATTGCTAGTGTTTACATTAAGAGGAATCATATTTTTGACATGCTTTCCAACAACAGCTCTCTGTGAACTGTTACAGCCCTTGGTTTAATTCTAGTATCTGGTGCACACGGGATTTGGCTACTTATGGCGACTTTATGATGAGCAGTAAAAACGAGACATATACGATGAGTAGGAAACGGGTCATTCAAAGAATATATATAGCTATATATAGTATATATTATGTATATACACATATAGTGTATAGTATATAGAAATTCTTTGGATCATTTTGGTGTTGGCGATAATTTTCAAAATCGTACCAAGGCTGCACCGTATACTAGGATTTTACTCAGTCCTTTTTCACCAAAGTGCTGATCATTCATTCAGTTTAGTGAATCAGTCCCAGAACAGATCATCCACTTCTAATGTATTGTGTTCATAAAACTTTGCATTAAACTTAG